AGATGCGTTCCACTTCTCTTAAACCACAGCACCGACAATAAATATTTCAAATGTACATTTCAAGTTAAGGCAAAAATTTAGATATTAAAACCAAGTAATGCGTTCTCTAATGTAAACACATGAAATCTAGGGTCACAAAGCTGACAGGGCAGAGAGAGACACTTATCTACAGGAAAGATAAAATTAACACCTCACCCCCAAAAGATACACCATCACAAAGAAAGAGCACTCTCTAACTACTGAAGGCAAATTCCTCAGCTCCAAATTGCAGGTTTTCCAGACACCAGCATGCCAGGACACAGTATTTAGGAGTGCTACCTTTGCTCTGAAGTAGCAGTTTCAAAAACAAAAGAATGATTTTTCGTGTACTGTCTTGATGAGGAGAGGAGGGCTTCATTACACTATAACCTGGTACCTGGGGAAGGGAGGATCTCTGTTCATAACCCAAGACAGTACTATGGATACTTACGAACTAAACATACCAGAAAGTGAAAATATCCTGTGATCACTGAAAACCATCAGCTAATAGAACAGAAGAAAATTTTAAAAAAATTATGCAACAGCAACCAACTTCACAGGCCTTAAAACTAATTCAGTCAAAAGCTTAAAAAAATATTTTGAAGCAAGATTTAAAATGAAATGATTATTTTTAGTCATTTTATTCATCCAGTTCTTTGGGCTTCATTAATTTCTGCACATTAAAAAAAAAATAGGAAGAACAACTTCAAAGCTTTTTCAACAGTAGGGGCACGTTTTCCAAAGACCAAAACAATCAGAGTCCACTGAGAAAACTGATACTCATATGCAGGAAAGTTACAGTACAATAAAGATCATCTAGACATCATCTTCATACCAGAAAATATGGACAGCACACAATCTGGCTATGAAATTCTTCAGATCACTCAACTCCAACTGTGACAACCTAAAGCAGAACCAGAGACACTGAGATCTCAGCTCCTCCAGCCTCAGGGAAAGGAGAATGTGAGACGGGGAGGGGGGGAACGCCCACAAACTATCCAATATCTATTTCTACTCTCATAATTGACCAAGTCTCTGCTTTTCAATACATTCAACTGTCCGGCCAAAAAAAAAATCACTTTCCTCATAGCAGGAGCTCCACGTAACACAGCTGCCTCTGTCCCTCCAGAGAGGCCAGCCAGGTTCGGACTGCTCAGCTGGCACCACTCTTCCCTGCATCAAATTTTACTTCTCCCTTTGTACTTCTGTTCCTCTGCAATATTTTTCAGTTTTCTCCCATTGCTCTCCGCTACGACTTACATTAGCATCTTTCTCCCACCCTCCTCAGCACTACTTTTTATAGTGCATTTCTTTTCAGTGGTCTTTCAGTCTGCTCTCTACTCCTACTGTTTCTTGCAGTCATTCTCCATCTCATCTCTTACTTTGACATTCATCCACTCCTGTTGCCCCCGTTTTCCCTATCATGACCACACCTGAGAGAAAAAAAAAAAAACAAATAAAAAACACGCTGGCAGCTTTTATCCTTCGTTTCAAAGCACTTAACATGCCTTTCACCAAGTTTACAGGAATTCCCTGAAATAATCCATTACGTACTCTCCAACTGCTTCCACGTTCAGGCAGCATTTCCACTAACATGTCTAACGCAAAACCTGTCATACAAAGTGGTATGTGCTATATTAGCTCATCCCTGCCATAAACTCAGCCTGAAGTATTTCCTGATCCTCCTCCAAAGAACTGTAAGAGGCAAGAAGTGCCAGTTCACCAAAGGAAAGAGATTTGTTAAATAATCCTTTTTATTAAGCCAAACAGCCCAGGAGGCCAAACTGGTAAATAACCAGCTACCACAAGCAGCAGCATGCCAAGAACAGCACAATAGCATTACCAAACTCCAAAAAAAAAAAAAAACCCAACCCCAAAACCAAATAAGAAAAAAAAAAAAGGAAACATCCCAGGCCAGTAGAAGTGCAGAAGCTGTTAGACAGCTAAGGACAGGGGGAACTAAGAACCTAGGCTTAACACTTTGTTCACATTAAAACAAGCGTGCAGGATCCAGCAGGCAAGAGAACGTTTTACACTCTGCTTTCTAGTCAGCTCACATGCAGCTCTATGGAGGTGAAAAGGGTACTTTTCATCTCAGAATGTGGCAATACGTAAGCCAAAGACACAGATGGCAAAGGAAGTAATTCGACTACATATAAGACTTTTAAAATGTATTTAGAGTTTTACCTTGTAAGAGTTAGCTGCAAAAGCCAGTAATAAATTGGCCTTCACTATCTAACTATCTAAGCACCAGAAAAAAAAAAAAAATCAAGAGCTTAATGATAAGAGTTTGGCTAATCTTGGTTAAGCCGCCAAGCCTTAGGAGAAAAGCTTCAGGGGCTGTTCTAACCTTGTCTCCACCATTTTCCTCTTGTTGCTGCCCATTCCTGTGTTTTCAAACCTTAATCTTTTCAATCACTTTCTCCTAGGCCCAATCATTCCCTTCCCTAGGCTTTGGTGGATCCTTCTCCCATTTTATGGATTTTAAAAGCAGAAGGGACCATTCTGACTGTTCCAATACACGCGTGCCATAAACCACTGTGAATTGTTCAAACTCCTGCACGTTTGAGCTAGAATCATAACTTGCAGGGAGATTTCCAGTGCAAACAAAGACTTAACTCATAGAGAATCAAGGATCAGGTTACAAGTCTGTAATTGACTTGCAACATTTCTTAAAATTGCACTGTATTTTTATTCTAAGTTAGCTCAACTTCAACTATCGGAAAGAATTATCCCTTTTTTCTGAGGGATGTCAGAGTTTCCAAATCCCTGCGCCCCATACAGGTGGCTTTGGATCCTCACCAAGTCAATCTCCCTTAGAAAAAGTGAGGGGGTAAGCAAAGCCCTTGGCAAGGCTTAAAGTATATTTCCCAGCTTTCTGATCGCTGCCTTAAGAAAAAAAATCCCTGTGTGTGTTGATATCCAAACCAGACGATAGTGCTGTAAGCACTGTGAGCCCATCACTGCAATACTAACTGCCTTCTCCTTTGCAATAGTAAGCATCAGAGAACCAGAACAGCGCCCACCCCCCACCTATCGACTTACCGCCGTAAAGAAAATGCCCCTATTTGGAGGGGCTCACCTGCAAGTGAGATTGACTGTTGCCACCTACAGAATTAATAGCATAAAATGAACTACAATCATTGCAGGAGATGGCCAATTCAGTCAACGGTAAGTCTTCACAATGTGCAGTTTTTTAAAACTTACCCACCCATGTGCTATGTTTAATCCACAACCCTCAATTATACTTACATCTTCGGACAGGTAAACAGTCATTTGCTGCCACAGCCCAGATGTTTCAAAAATACACTTTAAAGTCTAGCCACCACTTGTGCATGTACAAGCCATAAGAAGCTGAAATAACACCAGTATTTGCTCAAATAAAAGAAGATGTTGGATGCCGATGCAAAACAAAACCACCTCCTTTAACTTGACGAATTGCTGAGGTTAAAAAAAAAAAAAAAAGGGCAAAGAAAAAGATCAAGCTACCAGAGATCAGGTTTATTCACTTCACAGTACTACCCAGGCAGGCCTTCAAATTTCCAGCTGAGAAAGACTAGACAACATATATGCAGACCGAAGGCACAAGACCTTTCTCGACGACTACAGTCTTACCATAAGAGATGGAGATTCCAAGCGAGCATTACTGCTTGGAGTAATGAAAGCACTCTTTTCCGTCTACAGTTTTAAGATCTTGGTAACTTCACTGGCATCTCAGAAGTGTAATGGACCGTTTAAAGAGCCAGGTATTTAAACAGTAAGGAATACAACTTTACGTGAAAGAAAAGCGTCAGTCCCCAGCCCCCTGCCAAACATTACAAGCTTTCTGTGCTGTTAAGTTGCAACAAACGAACATTCCGACCTTTTACATTGACACAGACTGTGCATTTGAAATAGGAAAATTACTATTCTCAAAACACACAATGGTAAGATTAACTTATTTTGTTCTCAATCCAGTCCTCAACATTAAGACAGACATAATTTTTCCAGAAAGCACAGTATTTAGACTCAATTACACTGTCACTGCCATAAAGCTGCTACAAAGGAAACAGAACCATTCAGGATGAAGAAAGTAGCAGGAGGCCAAGAGCTTGATCTCTAATCCCAATTTAGCCACAACTGTCTGATGGCAGAAAAATTATTTAGCCTTCTGCCTCAGTAACATTATATAGATGAATATATACTGCTATTGCTATCCCACAAAAATGCTTTAAATATTACATAATCTTTGCAAGCGTAAAGCAAAGAAAGCTCAACAATTATGGTATCAAGTCAATTCACTGAATAATCAGTTTAAGGTATGTTTTAAGAGTAAAATTATGCTCACTAATAAGCCAGAAAAGCAGGCTACGCTGGTTAAGATATTTTCATACCTGCTAAATCTTCCTACCTCAAAATTCAACATTAACAGCTTAGTTCTGCTTTAAATGCAAAACATCATTAATCACGCAAAAATTTTACCTAATAAATATATTAATATTTCATGGGTTTATACTATAACCACTATGAAAATTAGTTTAATAAGCATGGCACAAAAAAGGGCTTAACAACTGCAGTTTTTATGCTAAATGACATGCAAGCTCCGAAGTTTCTCTAGAAACAGAGTGGCAACCAGAACACTTTGAAATCAACTTTAAAATACCTTTTTCAAAAGCAAAAGTGTACGCCACCCCCTGTTCTATCACTTCTATATCTTGGCATAAAATTATTCAGGTAGAAACTAAACTGATGACAAAATTTAAGCAACTCAAAACAGTAACTCATCCAGTGCACAAAATTTTAACTAGAAGAAAATAGATTCAGCAG